AAATCATTTTAAAAGAATTAGATTCTTGTTGTGATGGACGGAAACGAAGGGTGAGAGGCAAAGAGTAACTTGAAATGAATTTTTTTTAGTATTGTTTTTATTTCACGAAGGAATATATTAGTAAACTGATCACTTAGGAGAAAATGACACACCCGCATTCATGCTGTATTTTTTCGACTAGAAATGGTTCATTTCCAAAATAAAAATTAGATTTTTGTTCAGTCCGTGGAGCGATACATAGACTGTGATGAGGAAGCACTCAGCTGATAAACAAAAATGGATGTATACGATTTCATTGACACCTGTGATCTTCTTCAGAAAGGCTAACGCCATGTTTTTGCCTACTCTACATTTCAATACCATGGCGGACTCAGCTGTTGCCGAAATGCGAGCCTTGCGAGCAGATTCGTTCTTGCTAGACCAGCGAGCTCGACCAAGTCACGACTGTTATCAATGATTGCCGAAGAAGAAGATCTTTGTACAGTATCGATGTTCTGTTTCTGTCTGTAGTTAGCATTCACGTGTATATACTGCTTGAATTATTGCAAGGCACGTGTCAAGCCTTTGCCGATAATACTTCCGCTTCATGGTGAAAAGCAATTATTTGACAATAAAAATGCGAATTTCTTTCCTTTTAATAAAAGCGATCTTCTCAAAAGTTTTAATCCGCCTCTAAGAACTAACTTAGGTCACTTAGGCAGACGGTATTAAACAGTGGTAATACTAGATAAAATAACTGAATTGTCTTTGTGTTTTTTTTTCCACAATTATCTTACAGTTACGTAATGATATGTGTTAGTTATAGAAAGGAATATATATTTAACAGTAATCACGTGTAAACAGTAGCTTAACCGTTCAGGAACCCGTGTTCTCGGAAGTTGCGTGGGTATAGTGGTGGGCTTTGTTGTGCAACCTTACATCAAATAAAGTCAATGGTCTAATTTCGATATATTGAAATTTCCAGAGTGCAGTGGGTGATGAAAAGAAAATGATATGGTTGATATCGCACGTACAAGCAAGTTCCTGCTGATGTTTAAAAAGGATCTTAGAAAGCGAATTAACACCAGCAAATCAGAATTCGTAGAAAGCAAGTGATCAAAGGCACTGGGGTAAAGTAACCTTGCTCATTTCTCATCGTTCCTTGACTCGTCTATTATAAGAGACTTTGCTGCCTCGATCTTGGATTTCAAATTAATTGACTTATCTCAGATTTTCCAAAACCAAGGAGTGGGTTGAATCGCAAGCTTCTTCCCTAACTGAAAATGTATGCGATAAACACTTGGGATACCATTTTCTTGGTCATCGAGTTTGTGGTGTGCCTTTTAGGAATCGTCTTCAATGGTTTGGTAATTCTTACAATTTGTAGGAGCATCCATCATCTTTCCTCACCGAGCTATCTCATTCTAAGCATCGCAATCAGTGATTTTATTTCCTGTTCAGTGGCTGTTCCATTTTCGATCGCAAGACACTTTAGAGAGGGATGGCCATTTGGCATGGCTGGATGCAAAGCTCATGCTTTTATGATCTTCCTTTTCGCTCTCGTCTCTATTACTCACTTGGCTAATATTTCTGCCGGAAAGTATTTGAACATTACGCGGTCTCTTTACAAGAACTCTTACTTTAGCAAGAGACAAATTCTACTGGTAATCTTGGCCTCTTGGATTTTCTCGCTTGGTTTTAGCATTGCGCCTCTGTTGGGATGGTCGCGATATGGCTTAGAGGGAACTAATGCTACCTGCTCTATAAAGTGGGAATCTACTCGAGGAGGAGATAAGGCATATTTTGGAATTGTTTTTATAGCATGCTACGTATTTCCAATCGCAGTGATCACATTTTCTTATTACAAGATCCACAAGGTTTCCAGAGGGATCGTTCGCACTTCATCCCAGATTGGTTGCATTGGATTGACGATGACACAAGCTTTGCTGAGGAAACACCGCAAATCAGCCATGTACTATTTGGCTATCATAATTGCTTTCATGGTTTCGTGGTCTCCCTACGCTGTTGTGTCTTTCCTCGCAGTGATAGGGAGAAAAGTGCACCCAATTGCAGCCAGCACATGTAGTGTGTTTGCAAAGATCTCATTTATCCTGAATCCAATTCTGTATGCTATTTTTTCCCGCAAGTTTCGACGACGGATGGTTCGCGTTGTTCCCATGACCAGGCCAAATCGAGAGGTGAGACCAACTACTTGTGTTCAAAACTCAGCAACATTGGCTTTGTGAAAACTATCCATTTGACAGAGAGAAAGTTAATATTGCCTTTCTGAACTCTCCCGCTGAAATAATTATTTTCATTGACTCAACTCTGATTTAATTCAATAGCCTTTCGTGTCATTAAAACGTCAAAGATATTTTGATTCACTTGTGATTGACTTCAGTTGTAACTTTCTCTCAACGATAGCACATGAGTTCTTGAAAGCTAATGCTAAGATGATGAGAAACGTCTATATAAATTATATTTCTTTTTGCCCGTAAATTTAATTCATCATATAGTTACGACGTGATGTTCTTAACTCAATAATTACGTCAGTAGCAAGTCCATCACCGAGTATGTTGGGCCGCAATGTCGGGGAAAACTAGCTGCAGACCCCACAACACGCCATTACCACGGGTATCAAGGACTTTTGACCTGTCTTATAAAGCCTCCACTCTACTTGTCGTTGATTATTGCTGAAGGCTACTGTCACCAAGTAAACGCTTTGAAGTACATGCTTATACATTCGCTATAGGAAGGTATGAGTGGGCATGCCGGCCAACCGACTACGCAAGATTTAATTTTTGTTGTTAGAACGCTGTATTAACCCAACACTTTTTTAGAGAATCTCACCAGTGCACCACAAAACACTTAATGCTTTCCATCAACCGAATCTCTCATAAAGGCTCACAGTCGGGTAAGGGTGCTTACGACTTTCCAAGACTTTCTATAGCTCTGCTGTCAACTCGAAACAGTCTTTAAATAAATTGCCATTTTGTTTCACGCCCGTCAAACTTTTCCTTTGTTTCTTTAACTCATTACAAAACCACAACGAGCACCTCATTAAACGTAGGTATCAAACTTTAGGAGTAACATTGAATGAATCGGTTGCCTAAGCACTAAGAGAGTTGTTCGACTCTCTCCTTCTTCGAGAATAAAGGTCACCTCAATTTCAGACCCTTTGTTATTGGCAAATTTACGGCAACTTCTCATTCAGGTACCTACTCTTCTTTGAAATCAGGATCTTCTTTCACAGTGGTTCATACCAGCAGTTAGTGCAGTCACATGTATCAACGGTCAATCAAAAGAACGAAGAGCGCTGTTGATTATGTAACGAGACCATCTAGTGCTCTCCGCCAAGAAAGGGCCGGGTCACACTTGAGCGAATTAAATGGAGAATAATACATGGGCGAGCGTTTAACTCGAGATGTCGAGTTGATCACGAGAAGAGAAATTTCATATCTACAAGCAACCGTGTATTGTTTTGTTTATCATATAAACACAAGAGCCCTTTACTGTCAAGAAAAGTCGACTCTATTAAAGAATGAAAATAAAAGGATCGGCAATCCCCGAAAAAAAAAATCGTAGAGTGCGTTGGCGCACTCAAGATGAAAACATGCGTTGAATCACGACAAAAACAAACAATGGGCCTAATTTCAATGTACAAAATTCTCAAGTATTGAAATGGTCCTTACCGACAGAAGAAATCATTCAGGTAAACAGCCATAATCGGCCTCTAGCAAATCTTCCAGTTGTCGATTTTTGTTCTCAGCCGCGAGAAATGCCATTACCAAAGTCACTAAATACGTAACTTTCGGTTTTTCATTTCGTATTTTGGTTTTCTTCCTTTCTAAGAAAGTTTGAATGTCACTGTCTGAAAGCGTCGATATGGATATTTCAGTTTTTTAGCAGCCATAATCCGAAAATATTCCTACAAACGACCATGGATAGAGAATGGTGAAGGCTTTGCCGTTCATTCATCAACCTGACCGAGTGGCGCGAAAGGCGTGTGTCAGCAACTGATTGGCAATATCAAACACACGTGAAAAAATATCGTTTTTTTTTTCACGTGTGTTGTTACGGCTTTTCTCAGGGCTGGAAATCCTGGTATAACACCGTAGTTTGTATGATAAAATATTTTCCAATTTTCGTGAGTCCAAAATTGGCAAAAATTTCCCGTTTTCCAAATTTGGGCGACGGTCGCATCAAACTAGTGTTCTTTGACCAAAACTTCACTGACTGCTTCATACGTCAATCACAAACCCATCTTGCTCTGAAACGTCGTGGTGAAATAACCAAAGATCTCGCAAGAATCAGTACTACGCAGGAACGGGATTTTTTTTCGTGCTGATCTCAGTGCGTTTTGGTCGACGCTTGCTACTTGTGCTGGCTTTAATACTTGTGATGGAAGGAGAATTTCACGTTGAAGCTATCTGTTTTTTCCAAATTGTTACGGTGCTCACATGCCTCGTTTCCCGCGAAAGAAAAAGGATTAGGTGGACGAGGAAAATTCTGTCATCGCGCCCCAAACTAGGGAAGCGAACTCAAGGATTTTTTCACACTGAAATTATAAACCATCGTGTCTTGCACAACATGACAGCTAAATGGTTAAAAAAACATGATTGTTTGTTTTGCCAAAATTTGGAGGCCTCCGAGGACATCGCGTCGACTGAAGACCGCAAAAATTTGGCAAGTTTTTCAAATTGGAGATAACCTACTTGTTGACAGATTTTTCACGAAACAAACAAAAAAAAGCTCTAGTGCAACCCGGGCAAAAGCTTTTTCCGATGCCTCCGTTGTTTGTTACAGTAGTAAATGATATATGTACAATCGAAACTTTTGAAAAATTGCATAACATTGTATTTAGCGAATTCGAAGTATACAGTTAACATTTCAGCGTTACAACACGATTGTTTCCTGCAACTACAAATGATCTGTCTGTTATGAATTATTAAAGTTGTTTCACCGCTGACCACTCGTATTTCGCTCTTTTTACCTGTACCGTAGTAACTCCCAAATAAATGATGGCCTGCACAGGTGTAGTGTTATCTAGAGCATTTATCATTGAAGACTAAGCATCTACCAAAGGAAATGCAACAAGGGGAAGGAGAAGAGCAGAATTTTGACCTTTTAACTGGTTTGTATCTATTTACTATAATCGAGTGAATGCACCGAGTAGGTGACTTCAAATTTGCTGTTTGGTCGGTCTGCAAATTTAATAGTTCCTTTATTTAACAATTCGACTCCTAAAAGTGACCAGCATCTAATTTCTCCTTACAATATCACCACTGCATCGAACATTGAGGTCACGAGAATACAGTATATGATCCCCTACTGAAATTTCCTAAGGTGCTGATAAGGAGAATTTGTCTAACAATCAAGAGCTTCTCTAGATGGAGATCATTTCCTCAATTCTCGTGACTTAAATGTGTGATTCAGGGGTGATATTTTAGAGACAAACTAGATGCTAGACACTCTAAGGGGTCAAATAATTCATTGATGTTCCTTGACAAAATCTGTTGAAGCTCAGCGTATGAAAGAGTTTGTTAAAATAGTTTCAGGTGGTGTTTTGTGTGAGTTCTTAGAAGTAGCATTTCACCTCATCTTATATGTGAGGGAAGTCTATCCTGCTGTGGTATTTGAGAGAAGAAAAAAGTATAATGTTCCTGTACAGGTATGGTGTCCAATTTTTTGTCAATTGTTAAGGTTAAGAAAAATACCTCTTCTTGCAACTTATCATGGAAAGCTGTTTTTTTTTATCTGTAAATCAGTTATGAAGGGTTTGCAATTACATGTATTGTTGAAATCTGTAGCAAATATCATGGCTCTTCTCTACTCATGAGTTTGGGTAGGAGACCCACTTGGAGCTGGTGATTATTGATAAAAATTTGATTTTGGGGGATCTGAGAGGGCTACACATCAGATGGTTTCTGGATGATGTTTTTTGACCTTAGAATTGACAGTTTTATCCATAACTTCCCATGTATTGTTTAGGTGTAAATTCTCAGAGAAAAAATGTGTGGTCCCTATAAAGTTTATGAAAATAACTTGAAGACCAGCAGTAACAAATGCAAGGTCTGTGTTTTCCATTAACCCTGGATTCTATTTTGTTTTCTTTTGGCATCTTCTTGAATTTGAGTGTTCTTTCCCCAGATGTGTTGTCACCCAGATCTTAACCAGTATATCTTAGACGTGCTTCATACCATGAAGCCCTTACTGGAGGAGGTGTGTATTTAAATCATAGCTGCTTGATGATTATAATTTTGTTCTCCAGTTTAATGACTCTTTTGTTTTTCTTGAACTCTTTTGAATCTTGGATCACTAATACTTAAAATGGTAAATAAAGTTGTAGGCATTTTAAAACTTTTTTGCATCACAAGCAAAGATTTTAAAAAGCTTCTACCAATTCTTTTGTTGTTGTTTTATTGTGCCAGGTTTCTTTAACCCCTAACCCATAAGAGTCACTAACTTCTTCTGACAATATCTCCTCTGAATCACACATAAAGATTAGAAGAATAATAAGAAACAAGAATAAAGGAAATGATCACCAACTTGGGTGTAAAACGTTAAAATTCAACTTAAGATAGCTTCCATGTATTGTATTCAGCCCAACTCTCTAGAAAATTTTACGAAACAAATAGTTTCTGCATTGCAGAGTACCTCTAGTGATAGAACACAGATGATGTAAAGATATAGAAAGGACTAAAAAGAGGCACTGGATGTGCAACCAAGTGTGTTACTGACTATTTGTTTTATATCTAATAATAAAAAAAACAAAGTGTTTTCAATGGTGATGCCATCTTGTAATGTGTCTGTCCTCTAATAGATCATAAGTTAGAACCGGTCAAAAATTCCAATAATATCCAACTTATGATAATGCCTGTTAGGGTTAATCACAATCATAGTTTATTACAAACTATGACATTTCCACTTGTAACAAACGTGTACATTTAGGGCCTGTTTACATGGAGGTGAGGGACCCTGGGCAGGTGAGGTATCCTACCCAGGTTGGTTAAAACCACCTGTCCATCAATCTCTTATCTTGATCATGTTTACATGGTAGGTGGGGTAACCTGCCTAGGTGGGTAGCCTGGTCTGGCAGGTAGGGTAACCCTGTCAGCTGGGGTCATTATTTGCTAGGTAATTGTCTCAAGGTGGGGTATCGTGCCTACCTGCATTCGCATTCATGTTGCATTGGTAAGTAAACCAACAACCTCACCCCAGGATCTTGGAATGTAAGACAATATGTTAGCAGGGGGCTATTTTTTTACCATGGCTAAGCAGATAACCTCACCAACCTGGGGTCCCCCACCTTCATGTAATCAGGGCTTTAGGTGGGTTACTTTTTAGCTCCTTTACTCCTGTAGATTTTTTAGTGTTCTTCATAGTTATGCCTGTGGCATTATATCTTTACTAGGGCAAAGTTCAGAGGGTTGCCTTGGTTATTTCAGACAAAGTAAGTTACTTTTGCTTGTAAAAACACCAGTATATAGTGCCTAACTTATGACTTACATGCTGAAGGTGTTAAGTGAGGAAACAACACCTCATATGGATGTTTGGTCTTTTTTAATGTGCTAAGATCATTTTTATGTTAAGTACACATAAAGAACATGTAGTGGGTCTCTTTTATGAGCATTTACCTTTAAGGCAAGAATTTTCCAAAGATCAATTTATATCAAATTGTTAGGAAAATGATAAAGACATTGGAAACAAAATGATGACAAGTAGTAACCTAAATACCCACTGTTTTTAAGGATACACGCTGTTTCCTGTTTCCTGTTTCGCGTTGTTTGGTTTTAACCTTATAATGTTATACATGGGATGCCGGGTCACTAAGTGCCTCTCAGGGTGAGAGCCATTGGGGTTGATTTTCTTCATAACAATTGAAAACAAGCTTTGAAAAAAACTCTTAAGAGTCTATAAATAACAGAAGTTAATGTCTATGCAGACTTAAACTGGAAGAGGTAAAATTAAAACATGTACTGTATTTTCAACTGAAGGTATATCATTTTCTCTTTCTTAGAAGTTCATTCCTGTTGAACGATTTGTTTTTGAGGTTGGTAATCCAGAAGGAGTCGGCACAACAGAAAGGTCAGTGTTGCCTTGGTCAATGTAACTGACCAACTACATTATGTACACTTATTCTTGGTACATTAAATTCTAATTAAAAATAATCTTTGGAAGGCAAATGTAAGTGTGGCAGTTATTTTGCACGATAATTATTTTTGTAAAAAAGTTATAAATTGGTGGTTCATTTTCCTTTTCAGCCCGGACAATTTCTTACTCTCCACGGAGAGAGCTCTCAGAGGTTTTCTCCTCAAGATCAATTCATGTGATGCACTGTTAGAGCCAATCTCGAAAGGTACATACAAGTGAGGTAGTTAATTTTTGTGATGTTCTTTTAAGGTAAGGGGTTAATTGTTGGTTTTGAGTTTAGTATCCTAACTGCAACACATTAAGGCTTAAGATAACTTAAACTCTCCTTTAACTCCGTTGAGTGACCAAGACAGAATTTCACTTTGCAACATCAATACAAAATCAAGCAGACGACTGATGAGAATTTAAAAAAAATCATAATTGAGGGATTGTTAATTGATGCAATAGCAAATTCTCCAAGCTGAAATCACAAGGATCGTATGGTAGACAGTAAGGAGAATTACTTATGAAATCTTGGGAGTTAAACAGTTAAGGTTCGTAAGTTAAGTTTAAGAATTGTCTTTTGCAGGATGTACATTTTCCATTCTTGTATATACCAAAGAATCGTCTTTCTTAAAACTGCAAGAGGGTTCCAATCTTCAGGTTTGTCAGGACCAGAGAAAAGTGTTCAAAAGGAAAAATACATTTAATAAATAGATTGCATGTTGCTGTGAGTCAGTTCAGTAATAGATCACAGACATCGTCAAAGTTTTGGTAAGAACGAAGAAGTGGCGCACGTGCGTGCCACTTTATGCGTGCGTAATGCAGCTTATTATATGATGTATTGCCTTCCGTTGACCCAGGGGGTGTCACTTATTTTTTTCCATAAACACACATGATTGGTATTAGAAGATGCATCCTTCCTTTAACCATTTAGAGTGTAATTATCTAAAAACTATCGGCATTTGGGGATACTGACCGTGATTGGTTCGAGGCCTTCCGTCTGATTTCCTTCTTCCGTCGAGCCCAAACCATTTCGTACTTGTATTAAAGAAATAAAAGGAAATAATACTCATACGATATTTGTCAGAGTTCAAAGCAAAGACTGTTAAATTTACTTTGTTATGGATGTAGGAGTTTCCTTGGGTTGAGGCAGATGAACGAACGAAAATGAAGGAATCTGTCATTATACCTCTTAAATCAACTTCCACTGGAATCCTAAAGGTAAGCGATGTTTTACAGAATAGCGGAATATTAGGGTGCCAAAATGCGTACGTATTTTTTAAATTTGTGGTCTTAATTACACAAATTTTCCAAGGGAAATGATTGTTGTATCATGGTATATTACTGAGTGCTGGTTTTTGTAGCCGTTTCAAGTTAGTGATCACTCAAAGGGTCCCCATGTTTGATGCTAAAGGATACTCCTCTCCATGCCATTTCCCTGCCTTAACAACACACAATGGCGCTGAAAGAATTTGTGGCAAAAAAAAAAATAGTGATAACGAGGGCACCAAAAGTACACGTGCACCACCAGTTATGTATGGCATCGTTTTGGAGACAATCATCTTACAACCAGGAGGTGAACAGTGTTTACAATTAGATCAAGTATGTTAATACAGAGGCACATATTTACAGAGACAGGAATATAAATTGTTGGTTAGTTATTTGGCTCCTTATAGGCTTTCTAATGGAAAAAGGCCTCGGGAAGTCTTGATGTGCGTTTATAGATGGGCATCGTTTTGAAAACATGTTTCTATTTCCAAAGATGCAGCTTTTTGTCGAGGAATGTGCTGAGAGGACCAGGAATGGTAAAGACAAGGTTGAAGACGTTTGATATGATTGCATTCTTCCCGTCAAAGAGATCACGCCTTCCACAGACTTAAAAAAGAAAAAAAATAGCAATCTTATCGTTTGCATGCCACGCCTTGAATACACTCTAAATGACTAAAAATAAATGGAAAAGTAGTAGATGGTAACTTCTCTGCTGGCATCATCCATGTGAGCCGACGATGAAGGAATATATTTTTGAAGAAACTAAGTGTTTACCACATGGCAGGTGGAAAATCAGTCGAGATCAATTTATGGCGCATCTACACATCCCATTTTCCCGCCCTCTGATAGGCTAAAAATTCAAAATCGACGGCGTGCTTAGTAGGCTTACCAATTTAGCAGTGCTACTACAAATTCACTAACCTAAAGCGGCACAGCGTCGTGCTTTTTACAGTAGTTATTTTTTTTTTTCGATAGAATAAAAGTATAGACAATGGAAAACTGTGTCAATCGTTTTCACTGCAATAAAAGATCTGTAACAAGTGTCTTATCTTACCAAAATAACGACCGGTCAACGGAGAATGTCCGGACTGATTGGGGATTTGACCGATCAAACTTTTGCCTTGCTGGTAATGTTTACCGGTCCTGGGTGAAATGCAACTAGAATCGTTAACAATTCGCGCATTGAAACAGACGTGGGTTCGGGCACTTCCGGTCACAGTATTAAAAATAAGTTCACTTTTATTAGTTAATTTTAAAGTTTTACATTTCTCCTTGCATATACAGTAACTACTCAGCCCAGAATAAATATAATCAATGCTAAGGAACTATACTTTATAAAACCAATAATCGTTCCTCTCTTTGCAAGGTTATCTACGTGTTTATCTGTCGCGTGCGTAATATAAACATTCAAGGTGGATGTGTACGATAATGATATTAAACGTGTTACGGTTTGAATCACAAACAATGGACCTATTAATACACAAAAGCTGCTTTTCATTTCGCCGCAGTAATTAATTTTTATTGTTGATAGTGAGTGCTCTAAAAAGCTCTAAGCCCCAAGCATCGACCTTTTTTGGAATTATTTAACGTCAGTTTTGGTTTATCGGTTCCTTTTTTTAAGAGTTAGTTATCTCATAAGTTTGACCAGAAACGATACACGACTGAGCTATAATATATTCGGCCGGTCACATCTCCGGGAAACTATTTCGAGCCTTGCTACACAGTGAGACCGTAGAGACGTTTTTGCAAAATTGCTATTAAACAGATTATCTTAACAAAAGAACTAGCCAAATTCTGAGGTAAAGCGCGAAAGAATAAAAGTGAAAATTTTTTTCCATTCATTAAACGACCAAATTTGTGCATCATCTACTTCAAAATACATAAATAATCCTTTCAACAATGTAAATGTACAAATAGTGGCATGTCTAATGACTGAGAACAAGTTAATTTATGTCAGATAGTGCAAAGCTGTGGCAGAACAGTGAATTTAATTGATTGACGGGAGAGTGGCGAAAAAGTAACAAAAATTGAAATGGTGGACAGGTAGGGAAAGAGTGAAGTTGGATTCAGAGTGCGAGGGAGAATGCTACGAGAAAAAAGATTCCTACAAAGCACAAATAAATCGAAGAATAAAGGTCTTGGGCAATGACAAAAGAGCAAAAATGGAGGAACTTGAGGCCCGATAAGAAAAATAAAATTCTTAAGAAGTGTTGCCGACCAGTTCGCAAGATTAGGAGCCTGGTGCGTGGCCTCTATGCTGCGGTTACTGCAGTTGACCAAAGAGAAAAAGCGCAAATACTTGATTATTCGCCGCATAGTTTAAAGCACAAAGTAAGTTTTTGAGGGAAAAACCCGACTACTGCGGCGATAGGCGAACGCGCACGGCAGAGCGAGGCAATAAGTCTGACAACAACTGCAGAAACTGATTTTGCAGTGGGGAGAAGAAGCCGGAGAAGGAAATTCAGTGAGTCCTTGTGCAAACAGTTTGGTCCTCGAAGAGGGCAGGAACAGCAGACCCTGAAAGCAGTCGAACAAGCCATTCCACATAACTAGAAACGAACCAAGCCCTGTAGTCAACCATTAGAGGCTAACTCTGCTGACCTCCGTTGAAGTCATTACACAAATCCAGTGTAAACGACTCAATTTGACAGATGGCGCAACCCTGGAGAGTCCAGTTTCCATCGTGATTGCCAAACAGTTGGCTTTTGATAATCTATCAAAAAACCTTTCTTGAGATATTTTTGCCATGGATACGTTTTACAGGCACAAACTGACTTTTTTACATTTATATTTACCTTCGTAATAGGTGAATCGCGATACAAAACTAATTGCGATTCTTAGACGATAATACCGCCTAATATTATCGATGTTGAGAGAAAATAGAAGGTCGTTGCATGTTTTGTATATTGTTACTCCTTCCGAAATGAGCAATGAATATTTTTTTCACAACTAAGCGCCAATAATGCAGTATTGACGTCTCAAAATGCCGTTGGTGCATGGTGCTTTCTGTTCCCAAGAAAGGGATAATTGAAAGAAAACACAGTCCGTTACAGAAAAAAATTAGCCCACTTGGACTACTTTAGACACACGTTTCTGGACACATTCCCCTTCTACTCTCTTGAAGTTTTATCATCATTTCTTGGAAGTCTACCCTTTGTCCCAAACAGGATGATACAAATTGCCGAAAGGTACAAACTGACCGGGCTACACACCACATGGAACTGCGAACCACTATTGACGAGATGAGAATCCTGTTGTCATTTGAATGGTAGTCTTAGCGATTAGATCAGCCATTCCAAATTTATCTCATCGCAATCTGAGTCTCAAAGCTCTGTAATACTCAATTGATATATCGCTGGCAGTCCCATGGGCAGTAAGAAGCGAATCCTGTGTTCTGATTGGCTACCCGTGCGGGTATGTAAGATGGGCCCATCTTGCCCGCTCGAGATTGCCCGCTTTGGTCCCGTGCAAAAAAGAAAATTGCTTGCAGCGAACTTACAAAAAGGTTCGTAATTTTTGGACATTGTCAGCTATGGAATCGCTAAAAGAGGTGGAGGGAAATCGAAATAAAGGAGACATAAACGACTCTCGTGGGTTTACTGTGCTACAAAACAGTTTGATTTCCATCCCGTCTCTCGAAATGTAAGAGCAATTCTTGATTCTTAATAAGGCGAAATCTTTACGCTATAAAAGAAATCCTTCATTGATCAAGCTTGTTCGGTCAAGTTGGTCAACAACGCAAACATATCGGTATTTTATTGTATGTTTAGATATGACATAATATAAGGTGACCATCGAGTAACCGTCGAACATTAAATAACTACACATGTTCGATAGCTCTGGTATTAAAGTTTATGTTGACATTGGAGAAGATCCTGCCACATGACTCGTACAGGGGATCGTAGAAGCAAATAACCATAAATTTCCAGATTTTAGCCCACAGCCCCAATGGGATCAAAAACAAGCGGGCAAATGGAGAGGCCACCCAAATCATTAAAAAGCTCAGGGAACCACAAACCAAGCCATAGATAAAGGACAGAAGACCGCCGAACACAATGGTAAGTACCCAGTATGTGCCAAGGATGGTACCTTCATAAATTGTTTTGGTAAACTGGTGAACGCACTGCGGGCTACGAACTGCTGTTGGCTCGCAGACCACATCTGAATAAGCCACCTATAAAAAGGAAAAACTTGGTCAGTGTTCTAACGGAAATTTTCGTACCGCGACTCTCCAGTTCATCAATTCTAAACGAATTTTAAACCACAATTTAGGTGATTACCATTTGCAGGAGCGCCTTTCACAAAGACAATCGACTGGCGCCTAACAAAGAAAATCGTGGCGATGGGTGTAAAGGATGATGAGATGAACAAAGAACAAACATCGGTAGCAAAAGAAATTAATTCCATTATTAATTGGTAAGCTATTCAACGAAGTCTTCCTATTACGCCAAATCATAACTTTTATGCTTAGTCATTAATCATTGATTAATCACTTATTTTTATTAATCATATTTCAAGTCTGGGGTCGCGATATCGCACTGGTAACGAATAACGACTTCAAGATGTCCTAATTGGTAAATGTTACGTTTGTTCACACTTTAAGGACGAAATTACTCATATTTGTGGGGAAACCCACGGAAGTTCAGGAGTTTAATGCATCACCCGCTTTTAAAGTCATAATCAGCTTGGCGCCTCTGTAGTTGTATAATTTTACATTTCTTCTATTGGTTGATGGTAAAATATCTGAAGTCTGACCCAATAACTGAGAAATACATTGTTTCAAAAATACCACACAGACAGTATTGTAAACTTCGAGACGTAATTTCTTGATTCCTTTTATTGATTCGTACTTACTACAACATCTAATTCGTATCGTAAAACCTAAACTTCGTAACTTCGCATAACCACTCGTCTTCGCTTCGAAAAGGTACTCATCAAAGTCTATTATGTACATGTGATTATGTTACTTGGCTCACGTGTCCGTCAATCAACAAAATCACTTCTGCACTGTACAAACAAAACAATATATCTCGTTACGTTAATCGTTCTCGCGTGGGACGTCTCGCGTGGGACGTCTCGCGTGGGACGTCTCGCGTGGGACGTCTCGCGTGGGACGTCTCGCGTGGGACGTCTCAATGTTTCTTACAGACAGCTCATTTCAAATTTGAACAAGCATGCTGTTGTTCCAGGAAACTTTTCACAAAAGGATAACGGGATGTGGAGTCCTGATCACTATCCGTGTTTAGCACCAGGGTTATTGTTTTAAAAACATTTTTGGGGACTAGTCTTTCCGAGCTGCAGGAGCTCGATAAACTTTGCTAACATTCCATGGTCAACAAGCGTGACTTAATTTATGCATATTTGTGGTTACTTCCTTTCTCGTTCAAAATCAATGCGAAGAAGTGACTCTTTTGAAAACTAGCTCAGCCTTTTTGTTGAGGCGAGGAACTCCCATAAATTCATCAAACCGTGCCTCAAAATTACAAATTACGAAGATATAATGGGACGTCTTCTGCATAACATTATGCTAAACTGTCCCAGGCGGACTGTTAAAAACATGATGACAAACTTCCATCCAGTTAGTCTTGACCAGTCTTATGCTGTAAAAAAAATTAAAATGCTTTGGTTTACGGATTAACCCTAGAAGTGCTTATTTATAAGATGTCATGACGAAGACAACTTCGTGTTTACCTGAGCTTGAAGTTATTGATTTCAGTTCAGGCGATACTTTTGACATTTAGAATGTCACGGAACCATTTTCAATAACATCGAACACTGAGTCACTACAGTTATCGAAAGAAATGGTTGACGTGAAAAGTGATACTATTCCATCTTTGTGGTAATTTATACTAAAATTTACCACATTATGTATTGAAAAATGTAACTTTGTTAAAGACATAGTTACCAAAGATGTCGATTACCGGCAAGCACCTTGTAATGCTATTCAGTGGTACAAAAAAGTAGTAAATAAAAAATGGTATACATGAACAATACAAATTAAAGTAAGATTTTCCTTTTCGTTTTGACTATCACCTTCAGGCGGTTAAATCTTTGGATGTGACCATTTGTATTTTTAAATTTTAAGGGGCCCTTTTGACGTGATCATATTCGAGTAAAAAATTCGGAAAGATTCATTTACATCGCGTGATTTTCAATAGGACTTTAAAATACAGTCATTTGAGTCGGCAGAAGAAGTTGTTATTACACTTATGCGTGTGTGTGTATTTTTCTTTTTTTAGCCACCAACCACTCTTAGTTTTACATTTTTCTTTGTAACATCAACTAGTCTCTCATCAAACAAAAAAGTTTACAGCGCTATCCTATCGGTGACAGTCACATCCCTCTAGGAATGTCGAAAGCTTAGTTACCAGAGTTATTTTCTATCTCGTAAACTGTAAGGAATAACGAAGTATTTAAGCATTTTTTTCACCATGAAAGTTTCAAGTTTTTTATCATGCGAGATGTCACACAAAACAGTAAGAGTCATAATAAATGGGGTGTTGAAGACCAAGCTGGCCGGTCACGTTTTCCAATACCTCACGTCTATGTTGCTCCTCCTCGTCTGCGTAAATGTCCTCCGTCTCAACTTCTCGGCTTCCCTGTCTCCTTCTTGCAGCCGCCAATCTCGAAAAAAATCGAAGGGGCCATGCGGTTTATGGTTTCGATACCAGCCTCTTTAGCAGGTCCGTAAAAAAAACAAGAAAACAAAAAAAAAAAAAAAGCTGAAAATGGGCATCTATCTGGTTGCCTTATGTTTTGATCCACAGAGAAGGAAATTAAAAACAAACAAACGAACAAAAAAACACACCGTTTCTAAAACACACCTTTGAGGAAGTACATGTTGTCCAGGTTCCTCAGGGTACAGCCAATCCTTTTTTCGAGAAATGTCTTTGCTGTGTATATTTCTGCAGTCTGTGCTCATTGCTAGTAATTCACACATAGACGATTTCTGTCAAATCGACACTGGATTTTTAATTTCTCGACAGGAAAAATTGACACCAGGAATGTTAAAATTGGGATGGGACACTGGGATCGAAACAAAATCAAGACAGGGAGAGTAAGATCCATACCCAGCCATATCCGTCTGCTTTTCCCCCCTACCCTTTCCTACCCCCACCACACCCTCCTTTCGGGGGACCTCTAAATAACAACCCAGTTTCCCCACTTGAAAGACTTCAGCAACAATAGAATCTCTGTTTCTTTTCTAGCTTTATACTTAACTCTCAATATAAGCCAAATTAATATGTGTTCTGGACCCACTCGCTCGTAACACGTCACGACGAAAACAAAGTGATGAGATCGACAACAGTACGTAATAAAGTGAAACCCAGTGGAATCTACGCTTTGTCCGTAACGGCGAAAACCAAGCCTTACAAGGAGCGTTTCTCTCCTCGGATCTCCAGATTAGTAAAAACGGCTTGTAATATTTTTTTATTTCACTAGCTGTCTTGAAATTAATAACATGTGTTCCAAAAATTTCCGATTTTTTTCCTTCGCGTCTTGGATATTGGCAAGTTTTCGGTGCCTGCCAATACTTTCCCAGCCCATGACGATGAGCTGGACAAACCGTCATCTTTTGCATCTGTTCCTCAGTGATCTCCAACAAACCAGCCCTTGCAAATATTGGGTCCTTTTCAGACACACTTTCCCTTAAAAGGTGGTGTTTAATTAGATGCGTACTGATATTAGCATTACATCCATTCAAATGTACTGATTCTTTACATCCTCGACTACTTTCACATTTGCTTCTCGTAATGCTCGAAAACGAACATAAAGCGGCCATTCTTCAATGCAAATAATGCGAATCTTCTCCATAAGAATTTTCAATTATCCCCGTCGCAATGTAAATATTTCCGACGTATTGAGTATAAAATTTGCATATAGCAGTATTTGAAATTAGCTCAGTTAAAAGAAACGCTGTGGCTTTATGGCCGGTAACCGGTCAAGGTGTTGAAAACACTTAATGGCCGGCAGTCCTATATTCTTAGTAAATTTCACAAAATCGAAATATTCCAGCTTATCCAAACTATCATATGTCGATTTAGTGATAGTTTAGATTAGCTGGAATTTTTCGATTTTGTGAAATTTACTAAGAATATAGGACTGCCGGCCATTTACTGTTTTGAAAACCTTGACCGGCAGTCGAGCTGAAAAAAGTTTTAAGTGTCACAAAACATGGTTTCGTCTTCTGACCCAGAGCAAACCAAACACTAAACTTGAGATCTGTAAAGCATTTCAAGATCGCTTGAAAAAAAAACAGATATGTTTTCAATAAAGTTACACTTTCGGTGCAAAGTAAGGTAATTTTAGAAGATTAATTACGGTAAAAAAGGCAATTTATCACTCTTGTCGTTAAACATTTATTTCGACTACTTATAAGTGTGTGCGATGTAGGAATCCGTGACATTCCCGCGTGACACAGGACTGAAATCGGCGTTCGCGTAGCTCAGGTAGAAAGGAAGTAACCACAAATATGCATAAATTAAATCATGCGCACTCTGACCATGGAATGTTAGCAAAGTTTATCGAGCTCCTGCGGCTCGAAAGGACCAGTCCCCATAAATTTTTTTCTTGCTTTTGAAACACTAGCCCTATTACTAAACATGTATAATGATCAGGACTCCAGATCCCGTCATACTTTTGAGAAAAGCTTCTTGGAACAACAGCACGCTAGCTCAAATTTGAAATGAGCTGTCTGTGTGGTATTTTTGAAACAACGTATTTCTCAGTTATTGGGTCAGACTTTAGATATTTTACCATCAATCAATAGAAGAAATGTAAAATTATACAATGTTTCTGTTTTGTGTCATTTGATCCAATGGGTCAAGTTTTAGAGCCCTCAGCGAAAAGTTTAAAATTGACTCTGAAATAAACAATTTTCTTTGTCCTAGACCGTCCTTGCATATCGTCGCTAAATTTTGGCGAAATAGCACTACGAGCCAAATAAATGCGATTTTTGCCATTAAATAGACTAATCATATCACAGTAAAAATTTCAAGGAATTCTGTGATCCGAAATTCGAGTGGTCGGTTCATACGCGGACAGCCTCGCTTATCGTAATATAATTATAATGCATAATAACATTCTCCTTCGACTCCATGATGAAACAGGACGAAATAATCAACTATCAAGCCTGATGTGAGCAGTTCATTTGAATTTGAGTTCATTACATACAAAATCTTATTCGTGCCACGCTCAATTCTAAACTGACTCACAGAATTGACGAAGGTTCCTGAAACGACTCATCTTCGAGAAATGTGTCGCCAAATACATTTACGTGACCAGAAAGCACTGAAAAGAAGTTCAGTGACTGAACCTCTGCCAAATACCGATACAACACTGCCTGCATGGTGCTATAGAAATCACCGATTCGAAAACGCAACGTTCATGCTGGCGCTCACGGGCTGCTTAAATGACTGCATAATATCGAGTAAATTGCAACCATCTTGCAGTGATAACGACTCTAGACTAGACCTGTTTCATATCATTAATATTTTCCTTTTACCCTTCGTATACCTTCCCACATTAGTTGCCGCTTTTACTGTCAGTGAAAATTTTGAAACCACAATAACAAATTAGTCTTCACCTTCAAGAAAAGTCGGCTTGATTTAAAACAGAGCTGTGACTGTAAAGAAACACGACTATTCAAAACCGGATGTGGATGCATCGTATACTTCACAATATGGCTGACTTTAGTCACCTATAGTAGAAAACATCATAGACCAGCTACTTCATTTAAACGTCTTACCTTCAAATAAGCGTTATTATTCTGTGGATCCCTGTCTTCATCAGTGACGATAAGCAAAGTTGCGGCATCCATTCTGTGTGTCTTTGATGTACGGTAAGGTGTAGCGCAAAGCTGTCAGGTGACAGGTACGATGTTACACAAATGTGGAATCAGGGATCAAACGCCTAAATAGTGTGTGATTGACATTTCCCAATATGGTCATTCTATGTGCTTCAATGATCGCTTCTTGAATGTGAGCTCGAGTGAGTCAGTAGAAAGGAAGTCCGAAAATAAACCTTTACAAAACCTTACAAATAGGGGTGGGATCAGGGATCACAGTTCCGGGACCAGGGGATCATGATCAGCAGTGTTTTTCATGGAATCAGAGATCAAGCTGTCCTGAATACGAATAAAAACCAGAAACGGGCTTTCAGGCTTTCTTTCAGGTTTTTTTTTAAGGATTTATCGTTATTTAATTTGAGATTGCTTTTTTCTTCATGGTTTTTGGAGTCATAACCGTACAGTACTACTAGTCACGCAATTCTTTCCGCTGTGCGACGCTTAATCAAAATTAAGTCCTATTACATGCCATTTGATCAACTTTGCCCCACCCGGGTTGTGCTTAAATCTTACCGGCTAGAGGTACGCCCGAGGAGCACTAGTGACGAGTTGATTATCAGAATTGTCGGCTATTCTATTACAGCGGACTATTCCAGTTTTACCAACAGTCAAACGACGTGATTGAACCAGACATGAACATCATAACATGTTTAACATGTGAAAAATACATTATTGAATTTAAATCAAGGAAATTTCGCAAAATTTTGTATGGCTGTTTCCTTCACCCTCGTAACCCTTAAGTTTCTTGTTCAGCAAAGTGTTAATTGAACACTGTAGCCTCTAAGACCTACGCTTGCGAAGGTGAACAAAACTTATGAATAGTATCACTACTACAATGACCTTGTCATACTGGTTAGAAAGATCCCAAAGATTAAATTTCTATTGTCTTGTACCTCTAGCCGGTAGGATCTCAGGACGCTTTGAAAATACCACCGGCTAGAGGTACAGCTTGTATATTTATTCAGTCTTAACCTCTAGCTGGTAGGATATAAGGAGGCTTAGAAAATACTTCAGGTAAAGCTCACATATTTAATCGACTTTGTCTAATTTTTATTACAGTTATTTTTTATTACTTTGCATTTTACTTTTTAGTCTTCATTACTACATTGGAATAATTTTTTCAAGAATATCTTCTTGTTCGTTGGTCGTGTACCTATCACTGCTTATTTGATGGCACAGCACACAAACTATGAGCATCAAATGACTCTTTAAGGGGAATCAGCTGAAACTAAAGCAGGCATTATTAGGCAATAAGCAAAGGGTTTCTTGTTGGTGTTCAAATAAGAAAGGTTTTATTTCTTTTAATAATAGCAATTTTTATTAAAAAATACAATAATTAACACAAGCACAAGTTAATCTCAAATATTTAATTGTATAAATTCTATATATATAGTAGATGACCATTTTATATTTTCAAGAATAACTTGCCTTAAGGTTTTCATACTCTCATACATGCTGTTAAATATCATTGAAAATAAAATTGGAAAATGTCAATTTGGTGAATTAAAATCATGTCATCCTATGACTACCTAAAGATGACTTGATTTTAGTATTTCAGACAATGGTTGGCCTTGTCTACAATACTTCTACTCAAACAAAAATATCATGAAAATTGAAACTGTTCTGTTCTAAGAAATTCCACTCATACTTATGCAGAGTGTTACATGAAACTTCAGTAAATCTGGTTGACATGTTCGAGTCTAAAATGAATTTCAAGTCAAATTAATCTAAAACTGGTTATATTTGTAATGAAATGAATCCACAACCAAAGAAAATACAAATCTGATTAGTTTAAGATTTATTTACTTGAAATTCATTTAAAACATAACAATGTTTATGATTTCAAGCTTACTTCA